TCATCTCATGCTCCTTCTAGTCAAGCATAGAGGTTTACTTCAGCAGCTCTTCCATTTGTTCATATGATAGCCTAGCTTGTGCAAGACCTCTGCCGGCTTTCTCAGTTAGCACAGCCACTGAGCCCTTTTTGAAGCTTTGTTTTATCAGCTGTTCCAACTGCAACTGAATAATACAGCATAACTAATTTAATAGGTGTTGCCCATTTGACTGTTGTCTGCAAGTAGATATCAAAATTCTTTAATGTATTTGTTACTTGAAATTGTCCACAGATTTCTTTAAAAAATAATTATTGCAAGGTTTGTTTTCAATAGCTACAATACATGCTGCACTGGTTATAAACATTCAAATGTTAGATTGTACAGTCCAACTAAAAATATTTGCTATATGATGGTTAGCTATTTAAAACCACCCAACCAGGCTGATAAAGCAATACAATGCACATTACAGATTTTACTGTTAACTATGTAATTAAAAATGTGCTTTTTATGACTATTTGTACTAATAAAGTCTAACTGATATTAATAAAGACAAAAGGGATTGTGAACACTGTTGAATAAAAATATTAATGAATACTCACTGCAATATTTCTACTATTTGTTGATTTGTGCTGATATTATTCCTCTCATTCTCCCCAATGTATAATTTAAAAATTGTTTTTATTGCTTTGCAATTTGCTATTAAGATGACAAAACACAAATATGGGCAAATTTATCTGATCCGGGACCCAAAGCTTGAGCAAAAACCAAAATGTATTAGAAAAAATGTCTAATATGTGTGTGTATTACATAAAATAACTTTTGTATAAAAGGTTTTGATATTCCTTAAGGATGACAGATGTTAAAAGAATATAATTGTTAGTTTTGAATTGACTAGTACAGTAGTGTTTTAGTGTGTGTGTGTGTGTGCATGAGCGCACACGTGTGTGTATACACACACGCACGCATGCAAACACACACACATTCAATAAGGAAAATCCCTTCACTGTACGCAAAGACAACCTTGTAAAGCTAGCCTCCTTTTTGCAATTCAACAGCATATCTAATGTGTCTTCTATCTTGTACATGTTTGTAAGTATGGTTAGCAAAATAAATGCACCTTTGAATCATCAGTTTAATTTAGTTTTCGTATTTTCAGTTTTTTATTAGCTTCCAGCAGCATGTTCTGCCTCAGGTCACTTAAACAAGGCCATCCATGCATTATGTGTGGCCACATCTAATATTCAATATTAGCAGAAGCAAGTCTGCAATAACTGATCACATTTCCTAAGTCTGCACCAGCTGTACTTAAAATTAGCAGGTGCTGATTAAACTATAATTCATTCATTGCTTTGTATTGCTTTGCACTATAGAGAAGATCTGGACACTAAGCTTCCTTTTAGAAATGTTTAGATTAGAATCTAAGATGTGTTGTGATTAGAGAGAGACCTAAATGACTGATGTTGGATCTGAACTTTCCCAAAACTATAGGGGAGCTGGTCTCATGCCCCATTCTTCTTAAAATGTCATACAAAATTCTATTGATGTCCTTTCTAAATGCTGTGGGTTACAAACTATATAAAAAGAGCAAACAATACATGGCATATGCAGGCTCTCAGCAAAATAACACTATTTTTTATACTACATGGGCAATGGCATGCAAAATTAATTGGCACTTCTTTAGCACCTTCTTTCTGGAAAATCTCAAAGCCTTTACAACATTTTTGTAAATTGTCATAGCTCCCATGTGAGGTTTGTGAGTAATACCTGTTATAGCACAAGTGAACAAGTGATAGGAATACAATCAAGTGATTCCCAATGTGGTACTCAAATAATAGGCTATAGTACCTCTCTTAAGGCTTCATAAAGCCTGTGCTCTATTTTTCTTCATATGTATATAAACTCTGGCTTATATACATCTGTATATAAGCTCTGGTTAACTCTGGCAGAAACTTGGATGTATATGCAACTGATTTGCTGACAATTGCCCATCCAGACTAACTTGAGTAACAAAAAGATATCAAACTAATTAAAAGTAATGCTACATAATACAGAATTGTACACTGCTCCACATAATTTCCAATATTACTAAAGCGTTTTGATGTTGGTGTAAAGAATATAAGATTTTTAATATTTAGTCACACTTCCTAGTTGCTTTTATGGGAAGTCTTTAGTAGCCTACTTGGTCTATAATCAACTTTTGTGTAATGCTGCTGTGTTATATTAGCCTCCTTCTAGCAAATGAGAGATGACTCCATTTCAGCGGTGAAAAAAGTGGTTCCTTTCTAAATAAGCTTTTGCGTAAAAGGTTTTGATATTCCTTAGGGATGACAGATGTTAAAAATGATATGATTTTTAGCGTTTGAACTGACCAGTCCAGAAGATGTTTGATTTATATGATGTCATAGCTGACTAAAATCAAGGCTTTTTAATATTCAGTGCAAGTATTTGTTTTTTTTCTGGCAGGTAACTGAACATATGCAGAATAGCATAAAACCTTTGAAATGGAGGCACAGAAGCAGCCCTGTTCCATTGTTGCGTTAGCAGACCAACCAGCTCACATCTCGCCTCTTCAGGCATCCCAGAATTCATCAAATCCTAGTCAGAGCCCTGTACTTCTTCAGCAGGAACAAGCCCTGTCTCAGACTATATACCTCAAAGCCCTTACCATACCGCTGTATCATCCTATCCAGTCAGGATGCTATCAGCCAAACAACCAGCTAGCTGCTGGTGGAAGTGGTATAAACCTAGAGAGTAGTAATATGCCTTTAATCCTAAACCCAGTTCTGCATTCAGAGAGGACAGATCAGTCTCAGTCAGTTCCTAAGAAACTGCCAGGACATACTCTGACAATAAACATCATTAGCAGTTTGCCAGTGTTACCACCCAGCTCTTGTCCAAATGCACCTGCTGGAAGCCCAGGGAAATCCAAGAATGCTGGGAAGTACATTTGCAAACACTGTGGACGAGACTGCCTGAAGCCAAGTGTCCTTGAGAAACATATTCGCTCACACACGGGGGAGAGGCCCTTTCCGTGCACCACCTGCGGCATTGCTTTTAAGACTCAAAGTAATCTGTATAAACATCGAAGGACCCAAACACATGTCAACAATACAAGGTTGCCCTCAGAGTCTGACCATGGCACTGTGCTGGAGGAGAACAAGAGGGCAGCGGAGAGCTCTGCAGCACAGGGTGCAAAAGCACACGATAATGCCTGTGAAAGCCCTGGGACAGGGGTTAGAAAAACCACGTCAGAGACTAACACCACAATGGACACTAAGAAACTTCCGCCCAGTATTTCTCTGCCGACACTCAGTGCTTCATCGCTCACAGTGGAATGTCAGAGAGTAAAAACAGATGGTCCCTATAATGCAGGGGGAAGTCAGGGTGCTCCTGAAAGAGAGGCAATGCAAGATCCCCAAAACTTATCTTCACCAGTAGTTTCGCCAGGTAGTAGACACCACAGAAGGAAGATACAGGAACAAAGATCCCCAACAGCAAATAAGCACATTCAATTGCAAAGGCAGCAAGCAACCTATTCAGATAAGCAGTGGGACTGCAAGCCATCTGACTATAAGCTGAAGAAGTGTGAGAGCACTGACTCAGGGTATCTGTCACGCTCGGATAGTACAGAACAGCAGCTGCTGTCCTCAAGTCCTCTGCATAGTCTTTATGAACACAGCACAGAGCTGGAAAACGAAACTGCTTTCAGCAGCCCAAGGGGTGCAGCAGGAAGTGGTGCAAAACTGGATTCAGCTGAGAAAGCAACAGCTTTGATGTTAGAGAAAAAGAAGCTGGAAGAGCATATCTCAAAACTGATATCTCATAACAAAGCTGTGGTGGATGATACCCAATTAGACAATGTTAGGCCCAGAAAAACAGTCCTTTCCAAACAGGGGAGCATTGATCTGCCAATGCCTTACACGTATAAAGACTCCTTCCATTTTGATATCAGATCTCTTGATGCAAACAGGAAAAAGAACCTCTCCCTGTGCTCAGCAAAATCTACCTTTACACCCATGGAAAAATCCAAACCCCTGTTTTTTCACTCAGTTCCCACTCAGTTCTCCACAACAATTGACTGTGTGTCTGTTACACGAAGCAACTCTTTGCCATTCGTAGACAGCACAAAGATCGTGCATGAAAAAGTGAGTAGATCAAAACCACCATCTCTCTCAAAGCAGTCCCTAAATACAAGCGTTTCTAGTTTGTTGCATAGCAACAAGCTTGCTATAAGTTCAGTGGATTTTCCTAACAGCCATCCTCGAGCACTTGTCAGACAAACAGCAGTGGATGACTTGCCACTAAGTAATACAGGTGATAATTATTCCCCCTCCGAGGATGTACAAGGGGCGAAAAAGCCTGGAGCTGGAGGAGATGCAGTCAGTGCAAAGTGTAAGAAATCAAGTCAGAGGAAATTAAAAATGTTCTCTCAGGAAAAATGGCAGATGTATGGTGATGAAACATTTAAGAAAATATACCAAAAAATGAAGAGCAGTCAGGCTGCCAAGAAGCTGAAGCAAAAGGGAAATAAAGCTACAGATGTTACCAGCTTCATTCCTGAGCCAAAGGGGGCAGTCAGTGGTGATGGGGCTATAGATGGCAGGAGCTCCACAAGCAGGAATCTTTCCTCCCCTGTGGCCATTTCTACCCCAAGGATAAGCGCTGCGCAATCAGAAACCCATCCTACCTGTAATCATACACTGCAGAGCGTTTCCTCCGAGGAGAGTGGTGCAGGCAGTTTTACAGAACTAATGGAAACGTCACATTCAATCAAAGCTGGCAAGCAGTGTGTAATAGGCAATACTTCCCAAGAATTTAACACCAGCGAGGCACACCGTCCGGGGAAATATACAGGGGGTAACAACATCTTACCAACCCCAAGCACCGGTCATGAGCTGAGGCAGGCAGCAAGTCAGTTAAGCCCTAAAATATTAGATGATGATCATCTGCAGCTACACAGCAATGAATTGGAAGAGCCACATCCTGTGAGAGACACCAGTGCCCTCGAAGCAGCATGCGAAACTAATTCAAACAGAGATCTGGAAAATCATAGTGGAAGAGAAACTGCTCAGCATGCACAGACACCTTTAAGGGTACAGAGCTGCAACAGTGGTGAATCCTCCCAGGAGCTCCACGAGTTACCATCAGAGAGGAAAAAACTGAAAGTTGATGCAGCGAAGAGCAGAGAAAATGTGTCTTTAAAATCCAGCTCTAGCCCTAATAGTGGAAGTCATGTCATAGGTGAAACAGTGAGTTCGAGAGAACATTATAGTATCCCTGACGCTACTTCCCCTACTTCAATAAAACACTCAGTTAAAGAAAAAGAATTAAGTGCAAGAATTAATGAACCAGTCTACAGAGCTGAAGGCATGCAATGTGAGAAAAAAGTCAAACCCCACAGAGAACCCACGGATAATGTGAATTATCTTATGCATTCAGGAGGGGCCTCAACAACCTCCTTCAGTGAATTTCTGGCACCTGAATTAAAGGGGAATAACTGCATTTCTTTTGCTTTACATAAGCTGACAAATACAGGGATCAAAACATGTCTTGTTACAACAGGACCACTTCAAAGTGGTCATGATGCTGGCATATCTTCCAAAATTCAACACCTGCAGTCTAGTCCAGTAACTCCGCTCCTACAGAAAAATGCATTTTCACCAAAGTATGTCCTTAAATTGCCACAAGACAAGAGCGCTGCAGACCTGAAATTTACACTGAGACCAGAGCAGAAGACTGCACCCTATACTTCTTCGCCAGTCACCTTGACCAAACCTTCTTGCACTGTCGACAGCAGGTCGCTCAGTCCTGATCCTGGCAATCTGGTTTTGTCTCCTTTAGCATTTGAACTGAGGCACCAGGCCAGCAGAGAAGGGCATAGATGGAATGTACAAGCAAACTGGAAGGCACCAATCTTTTGCTTGCCAACCGATCCAGAAAGGACAAATAGCTCAACCAAAGCAGATGACAGCTTTGATAACCAAAGCTCTAGGCAGAAAGAAATTATGGAAGACACTTGGAGAGGAACAGAGAACAAAGATAACGTAAGTGATCAAAGGCAAGTGGAGAAGATGATAAGCACAACTACTTGCTCTGCACAGACTTCAGTGACGAAAGTCTGCTTCGCTTCTATGTATACAGGTAGCTTTTTCATATCTACAGACATCAAAGGAGAAAATCGGGTTTTACGTCATCTTCACTCAGGAAGAAACTCTTTAATAATGACATCAGCAGGCAGAGGGCCAGCTCCTAGCAAGGACAATGAACTGACCATCAAGGGATGGGATGAAGGCAGTAGCTCTTGCTGCGTCCATAAAGACACTTCCCCAAAACTTCAGGACATAGAGCATTCAGCGTGTTCAATGGACAACTTCAATTATTACTGCCATTCCTTTGGCACTTTTTACTGCCACACCCTCAGTCATCATTCGAAAGAACTCTCTACAGAGCCTCAAAATAGTTTGACTTGTTACTCAGGAAACACAAGGATCTCAAACACAAAGGGCTCCTTCCCATCACTAAATGCTGAGCCTCGATTAACTTGGTGTTGTTTAACCAGAAGCCTTCCTTTGCCAGCTGAGCAAAAGGAGAAGGCGGACTCCGCATACTCTTCCTTACACATCTGTAAGAATAATTCTGGCAACGAAGTCACCTTGTCAAAATGTGACATTTCTTTTTTCAGAATGAAAAATGTTAGCAAGACTATGACCTATGGCTTGACAAACAGGAATTTAAAATCTCTGGTTTCCTCCTTTTCACAGGGCCAGCAGATACAGAAGGTAATTTTGTTAATACTGTCCCCTATCACAGCTCAAGGTTATAACTGGCTAAGCATATGTTTAATTAGTAAAGTGGAAGAATAAAGGTTAAGATATATTCTCTTATTACAGCAGGCATGTCAATCCTATTGTACCTACTGTACCAGATTACTGGCCACTTTTAATTAATACACTTCTGACTACTAAAGGAAAAAGTGCCTACATTAGTCTCCCAAAATAGGCATGTGTGGGCACATACAGATGACCAAGGATACAAAATTCAAAAGTGCATGTATAAAGTACACATAGCTACTCAAACTGTGCATAAAACATACATATTTTGCAGCAATAATTACATTTCTGTTGCTTGGAAATTTGACCTGAAAAAATCTGTTTACCGGAGAAGCATGCTTTATCTTATATTTGTACCTGCATTCATTGCAATACACTCTTATATTGCAGCATGTAGTTTCCTGTTTTCATTTTAAAATTATTTTTGTATTATTGTAGCACTTGTGAACCTGAAGCAATCAAAGGCTCATAGTGTTTGGTCATTTACAAAGAAAAGAGACAGACTGTACCAGAGCGTGCTTTTCTTAAGACATGATGTACAAGTGAATGTCTTTCATGAGGATGGATTGGGATCTTAACAGAGACACTTGTGTTTGTAAAGTGTAAAATGTTTTTGAAGGTTTGGGGATTTTTTAGCTGAAGTGAAACTAATACATTTAGCTACATACTGCTACTAGAATAGTTGGAAAAGGAGAATCCAGAAGTATGTATGGGCCTTTTTTTTTTTTTACTATGGGCCTATAAAACAGCAGCTTGTTTTGTGTTCAGTTTTAGTAAATATATTTTTAATTTAGTTAGTTATTTTTACAGTACAGTAATTTCAGTTATACAGCAATGCGAGCAATGGTGTGTTTAAAATAGGCATACTTTTTAAAATCTGGAAGGAATTTACCAGCATGAGATCATAAATGTGCTGTTAAATTTAGAGCCTATACTACTTAACAGCATTCCATAAAACAGCTGATTTCTATAACTCACTCAGAAATTTTCACAGACCTTGCACTTTACAAGCATAATTTTCTTAATCTTCTCAGCAATCCAGTTCAACAGCTGGCAGTGATGATGCATTAGACCATATCTCTGAGCAAAAGAAGAAAGAAATACTTTGCAGAAGAAGGGAAAAGCTCACAACAAACAAATCCAAGAGGAGCCATAAACGAAAAAAAATGAAAATCAACCAAAAATGGTAAGGAATGTGGTTTTCAGCTTTGTTAGTAACAGGCATAATTTCATTGGTACAGTTCAGAGACCAAAAGAGCATCCCTAAAATGCAGCTTAGCCCACGTGCAGGGGAGCTGGACCCACTCCAACAGGTAACAACTATGAAACCAAAAATAATGAGAAAATCACATGGAGCTGGTTGCTGCAGTAATGCAGTGCTGTGCTCTGGGAAAACTTACTACCATTTTAAATATCATTTATTCCATAAGCACTAAGCAGAGCTTTCTAGGCACATCGTAAGTAGGGATCTACTTCATTTGCAGAAAATGCAAAATCCAGGTCTGTCTGCAAAATTAACAAAAAACCCCACCAAATAAAAATAAAATGCTGGCTTCCCAGAGGGAGCCAACAGTCCTCACTGCCAGGAGGGGAGGGCGAAGCTGGTAGGGTGGCACGAAGAACAATAGACAAGAAAGCTGCTACCCATTTGTCCCTCCTCCCCCAGCCGGGGTCTCTCCTTCAATCAGCTCTGAGGGGTGGAGCTGCACGAAGGGCAGCCAGCAATCAAGATGGCAGCCACCCTCTTGTCTATCCTCCCCCCTGGGGCCACTCCACCAATCGGCACTCAGGGGCGGGGCCAGTGTGAAATGACTGTGGAATGAGAACTTTACGCCATGATCAACCCGTGATAATTGTTGAGTTCCCCCTCGATTTAGGTAGACCCGCTAATCAGAAGCGTGTCACTGAAGAGGGAAGCCTTTTCAGTGGGTGCTCACAGTCCTTTGAAGTTTACAATTTGAAGAGGACACAAAGGAATCACCATTTGCTTTTGATTGGGGCGACTAAAACATTGATCCTTTTGTTCTCTCTTGAATTTGAAGTACACCGCAGAGTTACAAAAAACGACACTGTTAATTAGATATGCTAAAAACCTAAAACTCTTGGTTCCAAAATGATACCTTTTATTAGACCAAAATGATAAAAGGTATCATGCGGGAACCAAGAATCTAGTTTTTTGTATGTCTTCATGTCTCAGACCAACATGGCTACCAAGTACACCCCTGACACTATTAATTAGGTCTTATTTGATATTTTCATGTCACTCTTTTTTTTGTTTTGATGGATGTTGCTCACAAAGCCACTGTATGGTCAAAAACTATGCTTGTGTACAATATAATTTAGGTCCAGCTGCACTGAGCCCAATCCATTGCTGTCACAAATGAAGGAAAATCCCTCATCTGGGTCAAGAAAAGAGCTACATAGCCATGTCTACAAGAGATGCTTACTGCGCAGTAGTCATAAGCTACTGCACAGTCAGGATCATGAAACAGCTGTTCATAGGCATGACTGGGCAGTGACTCCAATTACTGTGCAGTCATTTAGTACTTGTTTATACAGGTACTAAAAGACTGCTCAGTAATGATTGCACACTCAGCATCTTGTATAGATGTGGCCTATGTTGTCTTAAAAGAACAGCATTTATTACCAGAGTAAGAAAGGCCTGTTTGCTTTTTTTAAGCCAGATTTAGTTCCAATGTATGTGGGCACAGCTCCAGAGTCTTCAGGGGAGTTATATCTATTTATATTAGGGGTTAAATTTGTTCCTGGAGGGACCAGAATCTCCAGGATAAACTGGAAAAAAGCAGTGTTCAAGACAGAGAGCCCCATTCAAATACAATGCTACTACAGCATCAGTAAATGGACGAGCCAGGGTAAGTGAGGGTAGGTTCGTGTAACTTAAACTGGGGAGGATAGGTAGCAAGAACAGCAATCAACTGAAGCATGTAAGAAGGCGTCCACCACAGCTACAAAGATCTGCCCAAGAGCCCTTATTTGAGGGAAACCAGTCAGATGATAAACTGTTGAGCCCAGAGCTACCAATTTGATTTTTCTCTCAAAAATCTAACCTGGACTATTATTGGGCATGCCCACATCCTGGCCAAATCATTGCTAATGTAAATGCACCTATGGGCTCAATCTTGTGTTGTGTTTGTGCAGTCATGCAAAAACCCACTGAAATCAAATCATTGGGTCCTGTGCCTAGGGACAAGTCTCCAGCACAAAGTGAGGTTAGGGCCTCAGTTCTCACCTCTGTCATCCTGAAGGTAGAAAAAGCCATACTGACTTTAAGAAGAATTTGAATGTGTAGGATCAGGCCCTTGGAGGTGGAATTACCCGCTCTGTAGGTAGAAAGAAGTTCTTTCCCTGGCACCCTCCCGTCCATTTTCAGAAACTCACATGATTTTTTTTCAGTTCCTGTTTATCAGGCAGTTTTCTCTTTCAGAGGAAATGAATTAGTGGTGCAAAGGTTCTCCACAGCACTGTAAATTGTCACGCATGATTTTTTTTCTGATAGGACAGACACACTTCATGACAAACTGTAAGATGCTAAGAAAAGCAACAGAATCATGGTACCTCACTTACATAAAAAGCACAAGGGCTCCCTTCTGATAAATTGAAAAGGAAAGCACAAATTTAAAGCCAAACTGAACATAAATATAAAACTGATTCCATTTTCATAAATTGAAGTTTCAAATTGATGTGACGAAAAATGAATTTGTGGGTCTCTGTGTCCTCACAGCTGTGGACTAGCAGGAACACAGAGCCCAGAAAGGATGTTGTGGGGTTCTTTCTCTCGCTCTCTCTTTTTAATTAATCTTTTCTATTGTTTCATTGCGTAGTTATTTTGGTCTGTGTCAAATGTATTATATGGACAAACAAGCCATTTAAAAAAAAGACTACAAATGCTGTTGACAATAATGGCTGAATCCTCTACCCCTAACTCAGCTGACAGGAATTCTGTGTCCTGCTGTAGCTCTGCAGAGCTGGACCTTAAGTCAACAGAGGAGACTGGACTGTTTGGGATGCCCACTTAAATCACACATGGACATGAGGGAGGGTATTTTAACCCCACAATTTTAAATAAGACTTAATTGTTAAGAAAGTAAAACAAGACCAGAGGGGAAAAAATGAAATGAATGAGTCAAAATGTCTTTAAGAGAGACAAATTTGTACCTACGGCTATCTTTTTGTGGATGGTCATACTGTTGTGCAGATCATACTGGCTTTGAAAAGGAAGTAAGAGGTACATCTGAAGCTAGCATTTGCAGGACAACTGCTGACAGATTCAAACAACAATAAGGTTGTGTCACAAATGACCAACAGCTCAGAAATGTGAAGTCAAAGATAGGCCTGGCTCAACAGAGATTTATGTGCAATTTAAATGAATTTTTTTTCATGTAAAACTACATTTTGGAGCAATATTGTTTACAATGCAGGTACAAAGGCAGCCAAAGGCATGAATATGTTCAGCTGAAGCCTAGCAGGCTAAGCAAGGAACACCGGCTTCCAAACAGGTCACTGGATCCTGTGAAAATGCACCACCTGGCACAAACATATGCTAGCCTCGATCAGTCTGAGAAACACCTGTCTCCTGCATCACACTTCCAAGGTAAGGTTATCTTGTGTATCCTGCAATATTCTTTGATGAATTTTTAATGTTAACTGACTTATCTGATACATGTTTCAAATAGGCCTGCAAAGAAACTTCCCCCTTGTACTATGTTCTTGGAACAATTAAAGCAAACTGTGGTTTTCAAACTGAATGCATATAACAATTTGCAAATATCTATCTATCTATCTGATACATGTATCTTCTGGGTACCCATCTTACCTTGAATATCTGGCTTCAAGCATCTCCCTTATTTTTTGGACAGGCAGAGAAAGGAATCTCTCATTGATGACCTTCCTTTTGTGTGGACAATTAATAATTATGCATGGCTACATTTCATGATATTTAATATTAAACTCTGTAGGTTTAGTTGTGTGTAACAACTTCAGCCTATGGACATTTTATGCTATCAGCTGCCAAAATATACTACAAGAATAACCTTCTATTTTTCTGCCTCATCTTTCACTCACTTTTGTCTGGATATTTGGGCCTATTTTGCATGGAGAAGCAGGGAGTTGAGATTTCAATGTTGGATATCACAACTTTTAAGTTATGATTTGACCCTTTTCTTACTTTGGGCTTTGTTTCTGAGAAGTGATGTGCATTCTTCACTCCTATTTGCCTTGGTGAAAGCTGAGGCTGCCTAGCCTTGAGGTAGTTATGCTTGTAGATCGTCACTGCATAGGCAAGGACCATATTTTCAGTTTATATCAGGGTGGGCAATTATTTAGTCCTGAGGGCCACATAGGGAGTTTTGATGAGCTGTTATGAGCCAGGTGAGCAGCACCCTCCTCCTCCCATGCCCCGCCACATTGGGTCAACACCTTTCCCCCTGGCACTGCTCATGAAAGCTCCTTAGTTTTGCTCTGCACTTGGCTGAGCAGGGAGCAGCATCAGGGAGCAGCACCCAGGAGTGGGCTGGCTGGGTGGTAACGGGGCTGGGATCTTGGGGCTCTGAGAGTGCAGAGTTGGGGCCTAGGGTAGAGCTGTGATCTGCTCCCTGCATGCCCCTATGATGGTCACTGGTTCCATGGGTAGGGGCATGCAAGTTGCAGATAGTAGCTCTACCCCAGGTCCCAGCCCTGCACTGTCACCACCCCGTGATCTCAAGGTCTCCTTGGAGACCGACTGGGACCTGCCCAGGCAGGCTGCATGGCCAGGAGGATGCGATGGGGCTGCTGGTGGGCAGGGAGCTGCACCTAGAAGCAGGATGGGTGAGAGGGGCTGGGATCTTGGGTTTCTAACCATTCAGACAGCAAGACATTTGAATGACTTTTTTTGTCTCTGGAAATTGCTTCAATTTGATGAGAGATTCACAAAATTGAATCCAGGCTTGTGTCATGGACCAAACTGTGGGATGACTGTCTTGTCAGCTCTTTTCTTGACTGATGGAGGGAATGGGGTAGCTCCTGTTACTTACAGGGGGGAAACTGCAACGAACAGGGCACAGGCAGCTGAATACAGGCCAGATACAAGAGGGAAAGCAGCAGACAAATACTGCTGTCTGGGCAGGGAGCTGCTTATTAGAGTAAAGGGGTGCACGTGCAGCCTGGTCATGAGTACTCTACCCAGGGTGAGTTGGGTGTAGGGCAATAGGCAGCATAGGACAAGAGGTTATTATGACTACCTAGCTAAGTAATAGGCTAGTACAGGGGTGGGCAATTGTTTGGGCTGGCAGGGCTGTTAATGGGTTTTGGTGACCTGTGGAGGCCCATACTTCTCTGTCTCTCTCTCCACACCCCCTTCCCCCCCAATCTTTCTCCTCCCTCCCAGGGCTGCGACTAGCACAGAAGCCTGAACACACCTGCAGGTGTAGCACACCCTGTCCACCCCAAGTACAGACCTGGCAGCTGCCAGCCATGTCCACAACTGCCCAAACGTGGCTGACAGCTTCTGGGTCAGGGCTCCAGGAGCAGGGGGGAAGGGGTGGGGTGTCCTACAGTTGTAGGTTATGATTGGCATGGAAGCCTGAACCCACTTGCAGCTGTAGCATCCTCTCTGCCACTCCTGTGCCCAGAGCCCTGACCTGCAAGCTGCCGGTCACATTTGGGTAACTGTGGATGTGGCCGGCCGCTGCCAGATCCAGACTCATCGGAGTGGGGGGGATGTGGTGCTGAAGCTGCAGGCAGGTTCATGAGTCTGCTTCTATGCTGGTTTCAGCCCCACCCACAGCCCAGAGAGAGAGCGAGCTCAGCACACTGGAAGCAGTTCTGACTGCTTGGCATTACATGGCTGCCGGAGTTGCCACCTGCCTGCAGGCTGGATTCATCCACTTGGCACCCAACAACCAGATCCAATCAGTTGGTAGGGCGGATCTGGCTTGCGGGCCGTATTTTCCCTACACTTGGTTTATGAGCTGATAAAGTTACATAAAAAAAATACCTTTTGTTTTCCAAGACATTGCTTGTTTAATGTCATTTCTCTTTCTGACCTGATTTAGGGCTCATTTACATTGCCTGAGGCTGAGCTGGGGTAGACAGCATCTGGAGACAGAGTCTAATTCTTCTCTCTGCTTTTAAACAATTGCTGAAATATGTGCAGATGAGATTGGAATCATGCTGATTGTGTTGTGCATGGACATAAGGGTTCTTGAATGATGAGAAAGCTTTCCAGGAAAGATATTCCTACAACTCAAATTCATCCCTGGTACACTTACTCCTCTTTTGTTGCGACACTGACATTATTTATTACCATATCTTCTCACATACAATGCAACCCAAATTATATTATGTACCTTGTTTCTGGAGGGCAAAATGTAGAAAAATATTTTTTTTTCAGAGTCATGGTCATCTGTGTGTCATAGAGTAAGTCCTCCTGGGAATCGGGCGTCCAAGAAATATGGCACCAGGAAGTTCCTGCTATCAGCTGCCTGATCTAGACTGTCTCCTAGTCCACTTCCTAGACACGCTGTGTTCCCAGAATGGCTTAGTCTGTGTCACACAAGGTTAGGCCGCAGATCGTTGCAAAGGCAATAGCAAGATTGTTAGCTCTTTTTTGTAAGTAGTTATTTATATAAGTATGTACAGTTCCTGTACATAAAGTGTTGTTTCCACATCACAAGCATCATCAAGATGCTACCAGCAGCTCACTTGGTGTGTCAGGTAGAAGCTACAGTGCTCAGCCCATAATTATGGCTGAGACAAGGTTAAAATGTGACTCTGCTGTCTTGACAGCTGCATGGCATGCACAGTATCTCCAGGCTTGCTTCTTTTCCAGTGGAAAAAAAATGGCTTCCTTGCTTAAAACATAGCCATTCATTCTGGGGGGCTGATTTTTTGGGGAAAGTGTGTGTTATACATGAGAAAATACGTTATAGTGTTGCAGGGGAGTCAATGTGTAGCAGGTCATTTCCAAAAAGAAATAAGGCATAATGCTTGTGTAGGTTTTATTTCTATCCTTGTCACCACAGTGTCAGTGTTCTCCACTTCAAAGAGTTTACAATCCAAAAAGTGAAGACATACAAACATCAGAGATTAGAAACAGTGATTCCAGTCACATTTGGCTATGTCTTAGGCTAAATGGACATCAATTAGATTCTGTGTATTCAGGACATCAGAAACAAGTCTTCAAAAAGGATCTAGTTATGATAATGCAAACTTGTGAATGAACTCAGGGTGGGTGTACTAGTACTCTCTTAGTACTCAGCCTTCCCACGGTGCCCAGGGGAAACGTGCACTTCCTGATTTTAATGATTTGCAGTGATCTGACTGTGGCACAACTTTTTTAGGTTACTGAGTTCTGTGTTTCAATTGGGTTATGCTGGAGATACTCTTTGGGAAGCTATTGCTGTTTTGACATCCAGACAGACACTTCTGAAATATTTCCCTGTTTATGGCCTTTGGGACACACCTGAAAATGGGTGGAAAAGTTGTTGGCATCTGCCAGTCTGCTGTCATCGTCTGCTCTTCTTGTTAAGAACCCTATCACTGACTGAACACCCCCTTGGGCAATCCAAGGTTTCTGAGCTGTGCAGGATTCTGTGGCTTGCTTCTCTACTGGTTATCCCTGTACTATAACTAGAGATTCAGAGACGATCGCAGGTTGTCAAAATGTTTGTGCTTATATTTAAAGCTTTCTGCATACTGGTTCCTCATGGTCATGAACATCTCTTGTCCAGTGCTGTTCCTGGTTAATTTTTCTAGGGTTAATTGCATCATTCTTAAATAACTTACTTTAGAACACTCTTATGTTGTATCTGTTAAGTATAAAAAATGCAGGAGGCAAGGATATTTTGGGGGGGGGGTTATTATTTACTGGACCAACCACATGGTTGGGAGAGATTTTAGATAAGCTTTTGGGCACAAAGTGCCCTTCCTCAGGTCACTGATTTAGATTTAAGCTTCTAGGGACAAAGACCCTATTTTTTTATTTTGTTTGTACACTATTTAGTACAATGGCGCCTGCTTGTTGACTGGGGCTCCCAGTGACTACAGCATTAATGTGGTTAACACCACAAAACTAGTTCATGAGGTGTTTCCCCTCATGATATCTTACTGCTTAAAACTTAGGGCCTGATCCAAAGCCCAGTGAAAGTCAATGCAAGTCTTTCTGTCAGCTTTGGATTAGGTACTGCATACACGACTCCTGGATTTTGGCCCATGGAACTGAAATAGGTAAGTTCACACCAACCTTATCATAAGAAATTACAATACAAGCTTTTAACAAGTACAAAAGTGATTCAGATTGACTTTTTCCATAATTGTGATTTTGGCATGTTCTTAAATTCTAAAAAACAGGGAAAACACACTGTAATACTTTTTGGGCACAGCTACATGCGCATTTAAGCAAGACTAAATTTAACGCTCATTAAGTGAATGTGCATTAACCAATTTTGGCAGGTGTCTACACAAGCAGAGATGTGGCACTAAAATTAGTCCCATGTCCCTGCAGCCCTGCCATGTGCCCCTGTGGCCACTGGGAGGAGCTTCAGCCTCTGGCCATATGGGTGCCAGCATTTGATAGCTATGTTGAAGCCAGAGCCAGCTGGCAGCACATGGCAG